TCTAACTGTTAAACATTATGAATGACGGACATTCATTTTGGGAGCTAGATCTGGTGATATAAACCACAGCTAGACTAGTCCACTAACAGTACTGCCTACCGCTGCCATTGAGTATTCACTTTAACTGAGTTCACTCATGAATTGTTCCTGGTCAGATTCGTTGATCCAACAGACAGCAACCTGACTGGCCCAGTCACTAACTGTCAGATTTTCTTGTTTACTGTGTGCACGTGCACACATACACACACAGTTTTAATGAAAATAGTTGTAGAAAATCTACAATTTCCTGCTGTGGTATAAAAGGCAATAAGAACTGCTTTTCCACCACATTAAATAAATGAAGGGAGGTAACTTAGTGATAAAAAGGCTTTGCTGGATATTTATGTGCACTCTTATTTGTTACAGAGTTGATAGTATTTAAATCTAATTTTAGAGGCAACTACTAAACATAGAGCACTATCCTATCCTTCCTCACCTTATACTTATTGTCAGTCTGCTAGAGCCCATTACAAACTGTTTACTGGCTTAATAGGTCAATGTTTTAAATTCCCAGGCAGCTTTGTGGAGTCAAAGTACTGAGCCAATATGATTGATGGTTACTGTAGCTACATGTTTCTGGCATCCACATGTTCAATGGCAGCTTCAAGCACAGCTTTGTCTCTAGAGACCCAAAATGTTATGAATGACAAAGGACAATAAAGAAACTTGTAACAGTCTACAAATGATGAACTCTCATTATGGAAAAAAAGATGTTACAATCTTAATATTTACTAAACCTATTAGCAAGAAGGAAGGACAAATATGAAGTTGGATAAAATTGTTGCAATGTCTCTTTTCTGTTGCCCTGAGTGAATATCATGGATATCCAAATGCTGTATCCAAACTTCAGACAACTAAAAACAAAATATGGTTGTCATAAGTTTGAAAATGCATGTCAGTATCCTGAATTGTCAAAATTGGGATATGAAACTTGTCTCAGCTCTTTTTAAATAATCAATCATCAATAGCACTGAGATTAACAACACAAGTTCAATTATAATAATTCAAGGTGATTGCCAGAATTAGCTTTTCTTTCTAATATTATATATGGTGTAGAAACAGAAGAAAAAGTGAAGGAAGTTACTAAGTCAGTACAATCCCAAGTCATAATTCAAATAAATCTGGTCTTCCAAAACAGTGCGATGGAAAACTTGCCACACAGACAGGGCAACTTAAATTATTTTAAAAATACCCACTAAATTTCCATCCCTGTACAACAAAAATTATTAGTAGACATGTATTTCTGTTCAGAAAGTACAAAGTTCAGTTGCTGAAAAGATCATTTTTAAAATTTCATACTAACTTGATAGCTGTTGAATATAAGCAGATTCATTTCTCAGATCATCTTGCCTTCGTTTCAAGAGCATTTCAGCTGGTTGCTGGAGAAGCGTGTGCATAGCTGATTCTAGTTCATTAATTTGAAGTAGCTGGAATACAGTTAATCATTATCACATTTTCACTTATCTAACAAAAAGAGAAGCCAAAATAAAAAATTTGGAAACGTAACAGTAGTTTCCCAATTATTTTTATACAAAATCATTAAATATTATTATTTTAAAAATATTATGTATATGTTAAAATATTCCCTAGAGGTTAGGTAACCAGATTCCTGTTCATTTTCATTAGATTTTCAAGGTTCTAATCATGACAGATTGAGAAATGCCATCTATTGAGAATTACATAGCATAACATTGAAAAGTGCAGTTCTACACAAAAAAGGAACTGAAAATGGTATTCTGAAGTCCCACGTCTGTGGAGACCTGACTTCTGCATCCATTCAGATTACATATAAAAGATGCTTATCCCTAAAGCTCAGTACAAATTCTGGAAGTCAAGCTGCTACCTTCCTTGCATTTCACACAAAACCACCAGCGATATGGATTCTGCAAACCAAAATTCACTCCTAGTTACACATACATAACCCTACAGTCTTTGGAGCAGACCCTCTGACATCTTTGTAATTTCAATGCCTTAAATAGATTTGTATAGGTGTTACAGATTAGGATTTACTATGCATTTTTTTGATAATGCAGAAGATGAAATAGGCCAGCTCATTCCTAGCTGTGCGGGTTCTCATGGGGGGGATACAAGGCAAATCTTACTTTGCTACTAAAATAGATGAGACTTGGAGCATTCACAGGGAAATGTAAAGAAGGGTCGCATTAACAGTCATTTTTAAGAGTAGAACAGTACTTACTGGGATTGTGGACACTGTAAACCATCCCAATTGATACCTTGTCATCCACAGAGTTTCGCTTCCAGTTTCAAAATCTCAACCAGCAATTTACAGAAAAACTGTGATGAAACTTTCTCTCTGATTTAATTAATAATAACACTAATACAAACTACCTCAATTGTTCAATACTAAAAAGAATCCCAATTATTTTGGCAGAAACAATTAGAAGAGGTTCTCATTGTAAAGGGTTCAGCAGTTCAAATGGGCCCACTTTCCTTTTGCAAGTTGACTGAAATGAAGGAGCAAAACTGATATACTCCACTCCATCGAGTATATATAGAGAATGCTCATAACTGTCACTCTTTGTAATTCAGACTGCACAGCATTACCTTAGGGCTGGCACAAAGGCAGTGCATTCCTTGCCTCACCCAGGTTGCAAGTTTTCTCCCCTCCAAAATGTGTGTGATGGTTATGGTGGGAAAGCTATAGCAAACAGCAGTGGTTCAGTTAGTTAGATATGGCCCAGACAAGTTGGGCAAAAGAATTTCTGTACAGATTTACAACTCAAGAACCAACCCAACATGAAACCTTTCACCTCTTCCATTCTTTAATATTGAGCAAATTCCTACAGAGTATGACAGGCACACAAAAGTGATTTAGACAAGACCTTCTGTTAGGGTAGCTTGTCATAGTTTATGCTTTAAAGTTGCACCTGGTTATAGAGTGGTGAATTATAGCATTGTTTAAAGTGTTCTTTTATATTCAGCCTAAAGTTCTGTATAGCCTCATTGTTATCTGAACTTTTTATTTTGCTGATATTTGCAATATCAGCTGGCCTTGTTTCTTGCAAGCAGCTTATGGCCTTGAGTTTGCTCGCATGATGTTTCTTTCCTTCTTCTATCACTGTGAAAAGTTTTTCTAACACAACATGGTAATAGTTTTGTTACTAGCTCACATTAACTGAACCTGGCACTAACCAGCTGAATCAGAGGGATGAAATGATTGGATATGCTCATGAAAGGTGATAAAGGAGACCAATGGACAACGCTTTAAGTAAGACACTGGAAAAAGGCCAAATTAAGAGTTGTGCTCGTAATGGAGCTGTTGAACAAAGGAATATGCTGACTGCAGAGAGACCAATCCAAAAGCAAGGAGTCATCAAAGGAGGCAAGTTAAAGAAAAGCATAAAAGGGGGAAGCGAGAAAGTTAAGTGTGTCATCATCATCTTTACATCATGAATCCAGCTTTCAACACCTGTCTGGATAATACCAGCCAACAATGCACCCTTTGCTTCAGGAACTGAGTGGCCGTCTTTTCTGTGAAGCAAAGTAACATCTGAGATTGGGTGAGATCATTGTACTAAGTGTTTTTCTCTCTCTGAATATAGAAACTGAATATAGAAACTGCTAAGATGATAATACTAGCTGTATTAATAAAGTTAGACTTTGATTTTAGGGTACTGAGTTGTCTGTGTTAATATTTCACGTTCCATTTAAGGGTTAATTGTTCTTTAATGATCCCTAAGCACTATCTGCTGGTCAGTGGTGCAAACGTTCCCATTTATTTTGTATTTGGGTCAAAAATAGGATAATTTATAGTTAACACATGTCTACACATAGCCCCATTCCTGTTAAATATTTACTTTGGAAGACATTCCTGTGTTGGCAGAGCAATAAAGAAAACCCAGAACATAGACAAGTAGGGCTGGAAGGGACCTCTGGAGATCATCTAGTCCAATCCCCTACCTGCAGCAGGGACATCCCTCTCTAAACCATCCTTACCTATCCTATTATTAAAACTACAGAGGCAACCCTCTCAGATAGCTAATCCTCAACCCCTCTGCAGCAAGGATAAGCACAAAAGCACAAACCCAGCAAAGCAGAAGGCTCCACAGCAGAGGGGGGGCACTGCAGAAAGGATGATGGCATGTGCCATTGTCCCCCACCCATACTGCACTAGACCTTTGCAGCTATTCTATTCACTAAATATTGTAAACCCAGTCCCATGCCTTTAAAAAAAAAAGCAATATATGTACCTTTTCGTTCAAACAGTCTATCAAATTTTCCACAAAAGTTTTCATAGCCCTGTAGAATTTGTAGTTCTGGCCAACGTCCGAAGACTTCTCTAACTCTTGAATAGTTGTTTTTGAGCTTTCAATGTCATGCATGTATTTTTCATATTCCCTCTGATGGGCCCGGTGGATATCCTGCAGTGATGTTATTCTAAAAAAACACCAAAATGTGTAAACTAAGCACAACTGCTGGCCAACACATTAATCCACAGTAAGCATTTCTCAGTTATGTTCAAGTATCCAGCCTAATGTGAGGTGAGCAATGATAGTGTTTACAGTGTTTCCCTTTCCATTAGTCCTCCTCAATTTAAGTCTTCTATACTATACCAACATTTTTCAGACAGTGGGGTGGGGACAGGTCACACCATTGTTCTCCAGTCAGCCTTACCTCGATCCTGGGCAAGCTGTTCGAGAAAATTAGTCTGGCATGCATCCAGGAGGGGCCAGCAGGGAACGGCATGCTCAGGGGCAACCAGCATGGGTTCA